AAAATCAGAGGTCACTAGAGGATGATACACCTTCAACGACATTACTATTCGCCTTCTTGTTTTTCAACATGGCGGCCGAAAAACCTGCGTTGCTATAGACTGTAACGCCTAAACGAATGTACCGATTTTAATGAAACTTCGCTAAAGTCATTTTCTCTACTCCCTTTAAATTTATCTATATAACATACTTCAACGAAAAGAAGCTCAAAAAAAAGTTACGAGAGGTGGTAAAATTAAATTCCGAATAACTCAAGAAGTAAACACATTTTTGTGAAAATTGTATATGGTTTTTTATAAGTTAGCGGAATTTCCTAAAAAAAAAAAAATCGTTAAATTCGGACAATTAGGAGCAAAGATATGGTCTCTAGTTTTTTTTTAGATGTGTTATTGCAAAAGGTTTATCTTTTGTTTTGATTTTTGAATGTGTTTCTGAAGTAATGCTATTTTTTAGCATATTACTAATGATTAAAAAAAAATTAGTCCAATAATTGGAATCACCTTTTATTTATTTTTCTTTATAACTAGGAATTTAATGTTACTTTATATGTATAATTGTTTGGAAATAATATACCCTAGTGAAATAATTTGCAGTGGATTTTTTAAAAAATAATTATCGTTATATATATATATATATATATATATATATATATATATATATATATATATATATATATATATAATCTTTCGGGCTGAAGCCCCTTCTCCAAAATTAAATCTGGATCCGGTAGTGTATATCACTATTATCAGAGCAAAAGTTCGAATGTAAAAATTTTCAACTTTAATTCTATGTGTATTAATGGTGACATCTTGTTGTCTGCAACTGATTTAAGTAGTCTGCTACTATGGAAAATAGCAGATGACAATAAAATTTGAAATTTTTCTAATAAAGCATAAAGAAATAATGAGTTTTTATGCACTCTTGTAAAACAATAAATAAATTTTTACGTAAGATCTTTTGCTCTAACAGTATGGAAATTAATGTTCAGTATGCAGTTTTTTTTTTTTTATTAAGCATAATCAAGTATGGAATCTTCAAATACGACACTCTTTTGTTGAATGTTGAAGGGTAACTGTAATCGGCTATTCCGATGCTGCTCCTCTTATTGATTTTATTCTCATACGAAAAATTATATACCTTGTAATATACAACGGAAACGGTGAGGAAGCTATACTGACCTTACTTGGCAGACGTTTTTTAATTTCAAATTGATACAAAGTTGTCACTATCTCATTCTTTTTTCTTTTGTTGGCATTACAGACCTTCTATATCCTTTGCCCCAACCAGCATTTTCCATCTCTGACTATATTGGGTGATTTCTTTCCTATTATCTGAATACAGCTAACTTGAGGTATTCATCTGCTTTTTGGCCTTCCATGTGAACTTTTGCCTAAAATCGAGGTATTCATTTTTGTGTAAAGGCTTTCAGACAGATGGCTTCGGACTACATGTTCAGCCAATCAGCCAACATTCTATTATTCTCAGATATTTCACAAAAAGTAAGATATTTTCAATTCTAATATATAAATAATAAAACGACAATTAATATAAGTTATGGAAATTTATATGCATTCTGTACGAATGAAGTTTCAATCTAAAAATAAATAGTTTTAAATTTCATATGTTATCTATGAAAATTCTATTTAATTTAAACGGAAACTCCATTTCCCATTCAATAATATAATGGTAGACATTATTCGCTACAATAATTAAAAATATTTGCCACTTTCTATTTTACTTTATAACCATACTTTTTGCCACTTTCTAATTTGTTATTAATTTAGTATTTTTTTTAAATTGAGCTATTTTTTAAGTGTTTAATGGTTTGTAGCTTTAAATTTATTGCTGATTTCTTGTGGGAAACTTTTTAAATAACTTGTTTGTAAGTTCAAATATTGTGTAAGGGCAAAAATGACCAGTAAGTGGTTGAAAAGCTATTTTTGCTGAAACAAATAAAATTAACTACCTACACGACTTTATACCTATATGCTGGGTATTTTTCTAAAATCTATACCCTTTACTGAGAAAAAATTACGTCAAATGGGTAAGCCGCAAACTTTATTAACTATTTGTATACATAGTACTTAATCTCTATAACATTATTATTTTTATTTATAATTTAATATTTCCTCAACTGCTAAGAACCGTTTCTTCTGTAAATATACTTTTTCCAATACGAATAGAATGCTTATGGTAGAAATAATAAGTTGAACTTGGTAGGTTTTTCGGATATTTACAATGTAAGAAAGAAATCTACCACTTTCATAACTAGAACAGAGTTAGCTTTGAAGCATTGCTAATCTTAAGCGATTTCGGTCTGCTCTTGAAAGAGCACATTTGCTGCCTTTAACAGTATTTTATGCTAGGTTGCAGTGTGCATTCTTTGCTCGGTCATGGAGAGCCTGTGGTATGTATGCAACGTTTGGCATTTCCAAAGGTTCCGTATCACACTGAAACTGAATATTGACAGACCAAATGTCTTACAAATTTTATCGTATCTCATAGATAAAAAAAATATATTTTTTACTGCCATAGTGATTAGCAAATATAAATCATTAAGATATGCCGCAATTAAAAAAATGAAATTTTTCAATCGGATAACCATCAGGACTATTTTATATTATACATTATATTAGATATCCCTGATCTTTTCATTCGTTTTTCACATTTTTTTTTTCAGGTTGAAAAATCATTGTATTTATTTTTTCAAAGGAACGGGGTGGTAACTTTGAAATTTATCTCAACCGCAAGAGGAAATACGTCAATAAAAAAAAGAAAGAAAGAAACCTAACGAGTTTCACTGTCCCAAATGCGAGAATGCGAAGTTTTTCATGCTTTGAAATGAAATGATCTGTGGCAATTAATATTTAACCATGGGAAATTTCATTGCTATGTGATAGTATTTCGAATTATGGGTATTTATTTTAAATACTTAAATTAGCGAAAATGTCGTAACGAGTGCTACCGACTGTTGTAACTATACTGTTCATTTGATATGAGTGGAAAGAGCTTAAAAATATTTGTTTGAGTTATCAGCTATCAGTCCTCTTGAGACATAAAAGAGCTAACTGGATACTATCATTTTTTTCTTACAAAATACGATATAACGAGTGTTATCATTATTTTACTTAACATTGCTCAATCAGCATTATGAATGTTGAAATAAGTATTATTTGTGATATTTATTTGGGATATATATTCGGGATATTTAACCTTTCATATCCTTGCAACATTTGATCAGGTGAGGAATAGCGATTCTGTACGAAAAACATGACGAGTGTTAGCGCAAAGATTGTATATTTAATATATTTTATTAAAATATATATTTTAATAAATTTATATATTTTAAAATGATCCTCCGGATCCTTCTGATCATCCTGTATATTTAATATGATTTATTTTACTTTTTTCTACTATTAATTGATCATATCAGTTTCACTATTGTTAGAATTTGGAGAATAGGAGAAGGATTTTAGTTTTTTGTTTTAGAGATTAATGGAAGAAGTGAAAATCTTCAATTTTCTTTTGGTCATGTTGACTTGAAATACTTATGGCTTGGTATTATTCTTGTTATACTTATATATATTTTTTTTTTTTTCCTACCCCCCAGGAATTTCTTGAATAAATTCAGTATGTATATAAATGTATATATACATAAATTTTCAAAAAAATGTGGAACGCTTCACGATTTTGCGTGTCATCCATACTTATAGTCATTATAATTTTCCAATATACTAATAAAGTTAGTTGATTTAAACGGGATGAATTATTTGTTACTTTATTGTATGTAACTTTTGATTTAATTATTTAATTTTCATTTCGTGAAACATAAATGAAGTGAGTATCTACTTAGTAATTTTTCAAAAAAAAAAACTTATATACTTATAATAAAAAAAGTTGAGCAATCAAGGTTTGTTTTCTATACCACTATTAAAGTACATTTTACGAATGTTACGGTGAATAATTCCCAAAAGAATTTTAAGGATAAACAGAATGAAATAAATTTACGTATTAATCTGTACGCCGTATTGCATATTCTAATTATATTTATGTATTTTAGAAATTTCTAACTTACTGAGTGGTTTTCTAAGCTACTCAGAATCATTTAAGTAAAACTCTTAAAAAATTAACTGGCAATCTCAAATTTGTCATCGAGAATATCAATACCTATCTTTCAGATAAATTTTTCCTCCAAAACTTTTATCTTTTTTCTAACCTGAAGTGTTAAATGGTGAAATAATATAAGTATGAACCATTAATTCTTTTATAATTTCATTAATTAGTTCTTAATTTTTTAACTTAACTTACATTTGCTTAATTGATACGATAAAATAATTTTTATCGTGAATTATCTTATGCACAGTTTTTGTTATGCAAATGGTATATTGCAAACAGGTTTAAATTTTTTTCGGTGGTCAGCTTCTCAAATGTTATAAATACGAATGTCAGCACGAATGTTTTAAGTGAACAACAAATGCACTTAAAAATATTGGTGTATTTATACCAATCTACCAGAAACCCAAAACTATTAAAAAATAAGGATGCGGTCAGATTTAATTTTTTTTTCTGCGTATAAAAAATTAAACTTCCATATTTGCAGTTGACCGTATATACTCTACCAAAAATATTTCGAGGGTAAAATTCATAGATGTTGTAATTACAAATTTTATAGTTCATGTAAAAATAAATTTAGATTTGACTTTGACGACAGCGTCCCTGAATTCCTTATTTATTAATTCAGATCAATTTTTTTTTTGTTTATGTGTTTGATGTGCACTTAAAACATTTTTCCAGACATCGATTTGACATTTTACTGTAGTTTTCAGAAAATTTATAAGTTATAAATTATTCTTTTCATGAAGTTATTCATCGATATGTTTCTTGAAAATGTCAAAACTGGGACTGTACAAATATTTTAAGTGAGTATAAAATACTTACAGAAAAAAGCAATGTGAATTAATAAATATGGAATCATATCTTGCATTCAAATCTTCAATATTTATTGCAAACTACCTATAAAATACGCACTTGCAACATCTGTAAATTTAATCCTCGATATTTTAGGTTAAACAAAATGATTTATTGGGATATTAAAATAATTCACACATGATTTTGGTTTCATATAATTTATCCACATAATAATGACTTAAATTTTTACAATGTTGTAGCATACATTTAATATACTAGTATTACATAATTTGGATAAATACAGATTTAGCTCTGTAAATTACTTTCTGAAGACTTTTTAATATCTTACAAATAATTTTTTTTTTTTATGAAACGAAATAAAAAAAAAAATATATATAAAGAAGAATTGAACAAAACTTTCAAATTCAAAAGATTATTCTTCAAATCTTTATCTAGTGAATAGTTGAGTTTATAATTTGAACATAGTGTTTTTCTTCTTTCGTTCATTATGAATTTCGATTGATGTGAAAAATATTCTTATTGAAAAATTTTAACCAAACAGAATTAAGACTGAGCTGGTGGATAGTTTAATTCTTTGTTAATTTTAACTCAACACATGTGTACAGAAATTTTTGGAGGTGCATGTAAATATAATTTATAAGCATCCGTATTCTATTTGATGTTTAAGCATCCATCATCTTCCATTACAGCAATCTACCTAACGTAAACGAGTGGGGCTGAATAATATGAGTATCTTGAAGCAAATCCTGGGACACCCACATAATTGGATGCGTAAGCCAGTGGTGCTGCTGAGTAGTAGGAGTAATAGGGGTATGCGGCGGCGTAATAGTAGGATCTCTTCTGCCTGTCCTCAGCTGGAGCCGCAAACGCGAAGGCCACCAATGCTAGCAGCAAGCACAGCTGTAATAAGAATATTGAACTAATTATTTATATGTCATAATTAAATTACACTTATTAATTAACTATCATATACAAGATGTCTCAGATCTCAGTGTCAAAATTCCAGGACAGCCATTTTGTGGGTCTTTGAATGCGGCTCTTCAAAAGAGCGCTGCAACTCGCATTTAACAGAAAACAACTGTTATGAAAATTTGAAGAAAAAAAAATGTTGTGTATTTGAATCTCTTTCGGTCGGTACAAATTATTTCAAATTTACAAATTTCTAATCGATCTCTATGATTTTTTTTTTTTGTTTAATAGAGAATTTAGTAATCTTTCAAATAATCATAGGTACAATTAACAAAACAATGTGTACTTTTTGAGTTATTTACAAATAAAATTCATTTTCCTTCATAATCTTTATTCTTGAGATGTGACTATTTTTCCCAACTGGAGGATTAGAATATCTTCAAAATGAGGGTTCAATCAGGCAGAACTGTGAAAGTACCTAACGAAAATATAATTTCAAAACAATTATTTCCATGAATTGTAGTAATAGTCCGTGGTACAGACCCGTTTTTATCGAATTATTAACATCTGCCTGAAACTTCGTAAATAGTTTCATCTCATCGTAACCTACAACTATTTTATTTACGAAAACTCTTGTAATTGGGGCGCCTTCAATCTGGAGGGAGCGTACTTTGTCTATTTAATTAGGTATTAAAAACTATACATTTTGAGTTATTTACAAATAAAGTTAATTTTCCTTTATAACCTTTATTCTTAGAAATTTCGGAGAGATGTTACTATTTTTCCCAACTGAAGGATAAGAATATCTCCAAAATGAGGGTTCAATCATTGGATTCCATGAAGAATTGGCAAAATATGGATTTCGGCCAAAAAAAAAAAAAAAAGAAATCCTGCTGGTGGGCTAATTTATTTACGAGCATTTTATTACATTGCCAAACGAAACACACGAATTCCAAGAATATAAACTAATATTTCTGAAGTGACATTAGTGATATTCATCAAATATAGAAAACACGTTATATACAAAAATTAGTATTGTATTGTAATTAGTTCAAAATATTGTGTTTCTGCTTAAAAAAAAAAAGGATGAGTTTAGAATGAGTTATATTTCTTTGTTTCTATATAATGCATAAGTTATTCCATAAATATTTCATAACTTTGAGATTTAATGAATGTTTTTCGTTTAAAAAATTGTTGATACGAAATCTTAGAAATGAGGAAGAACAATTTTTTTTTCTATTTTATAAATTCATCAGTCACTTTAAATAAATTTTATACCAATTATAATTTTTTTAGCCGAATTATCTTTAGATGAGAACTAAGGAAAAGACTTTGTAACTCAATTTACGCAAATAAAACTAAAATATAAGTAAAAATAAATGTGTACGTGAATAATAATATTTTAGCATGAATGAATGCTAGAAAAGTATAAGTACCAAAAGATGAAAAAAAAAACAACTGTGAATTCTGTTTAAGATCGATTTTTATGAAAATAAATCAGGTTTAGCACAAAAAAGTGAAATTTTATTGCCAGTAACTTCACGGTGGGTGTTTTTTCTTGAATGATCCTTCTTTTCAACTTCGAACAAGCCACTACTTCCTCATAATGTTTCATCGTCAATGGTACATTTGTTTAAACATGAAGAAAGTTCTCATTGTAATCCCTAAAGAAACATTTATAATTTTCGGAGGCACCTAACATACATAAAATAATGAAATATTTTTCTCTATTAAACAATAGTTCTTTCCATATTCGATTAAGTGAAGTACTATACGAAGTAGTGAATGAAGAAAAATACTTCAAAATAGTATTTTCATATATTTTTTTATTTGATTCTAGAACTTACCTCGTGTAAATTCAGTTATTTAAAGTCTCGCAAAGCGTACCATAAACCGATAACCTTTTTTTATTCCTTTCATTATGTGGTTAAATGAGTGAAAGTAAATAGTATTGTTTTTAGCTAAATTACAGAACAACTTAACAAAAAAGACAAGTATAACAACGGTTTTGATTTAATAGGCATAAAGAAGTCTCCACTTATTGAAGACATATTTTTTCTCAAAGTTCTTGATGAGCAAATAAAATGAGGTGACGAAAACAATCTTTGGTCGTCAAAAATGAATTTACTTTATAGTACTTTATAGGTACAGACATCTTATTATCGAATTATTAACATCCCCCTGAAACTTCATAAATAGTTTCATCTCATCGTAAACTACAACTATTTATTTACGAAAACTCTTGGAATCGGGGCGTTTTCAATCTGGAGGGAGGCAAACTGTATCTATTTAATTAGATAATAAAAACTCGTAAATACACATTTATCTTCTACTTAGATCGTAAGATAATTTAACCACAAAATCGATAAAAAAGGTGGCCTTCAAAAATATTGAGCCGTTTGGCATGACCTACCCCCAAATTTTTAAAATAACGAGGTTATAATGGACAAACGGTCCAATATTTTTGTAGACCACCTTTTTTATCTATTTTGTGATCAAATTATCTTACGATCCAAGTAGAAAGAAAATGTGTATTTACGAGATTCTAGCACCTAATTAAATAAACTAAGTTTGCCCCCCTATAGATTGAAAACGCTTCAATTCCAACAGTTTTCGTAAATGAAATAGTTGTTGGTTACGATGAGATGAAATTATTTACAAAGTTTCAGTTAGATGTTAATAATTCGATAAAAAGCGGTCTGTACCACGGACTATTACTTTATAAAATAAAATAAAAATGAAGAAAGTCTCGTTTATAAGTTTCTTAGAACAAAAAATTTGGGAGTGATAAATCTATGACAATTAAAGAATTTTTTTTAAAAAAAAGAAACAAAGATTTCAATAACAAATGTCCTCCAGTCCATTGATCTTGGGAAAGTTATTTTTATCAATTAAAAAAATCACATATGATTGTCTATCATAAAATTTTCTGGTATTATTAATTTATCAGAATCATCCTTTATCAATAATATTAAAACTATTATGTGTTATGAACGAAGAAACATATTATACATTTCCAATAATTACAATTATTCGTTCAAAGAGCGTTTAATAACCATCTACGATAAATGCAAGAAGGATGCACCGGAAATCACTTTATAGCGAACACACCCGAAATCTTAACCTATTTTCCACCAGGAACACTTGGAGATACGTACTTGGAACTTCATGGCGACGGTTCTTGAGGAGCTAGAGATGAGACACAACTAATACTCTGGGATGGTAGGAGAAGAGTTATATACGACAGCCAGGCGGTACAATTAGAATGCAAACTACGTGCGTCCTTGCGTCCACAGCAGCCCAAAGAGTTTCGAAACGGCGCCATCTTCGGACAATGTCCTCTGGTTTAATTTGGTTTTGGTTATCTGATCAAAGTGACAATCTTGTAGGAGACAGACCACGGATGGCTTGAGTTCATGTCAGTAAGTCTAAAGTGAAATTAACAGTTTTTCGACATAGATATTTTTGAAATAAAGTTTTTATTATTGGTCGGTTCTTTTGATGTGGAAAAATGAAAATTGAATGTTATGCTAAATCCTATGTTTAACGTAGGGAACCCCAATGTACCACAGTTAAATAACCATCTGAGTTATTTCATTTCCAACATTTAAACAACGTTGGGTGTGTCTGTAGCAACGACGAGTCCCTATTCGGAACGTATCATAAGAATTCTTTACCAATGAAAAAAACATATTTGCGTGGTTAATGAAGTTACTAAAAACTCTCAAAGAAAGTTTAAGTATATGGTTATTCAATCACTAAGCATCCTTTAATTAACAATCCACATATCTGATTTAATAATCCCCACCTCCAACCGTAACCCTCTAGAATCTAGGAACTAGATTTGATTTACCATCTCTTCATAATTATTATTTATTGAAAAATAATATTGAAGTTAATAACATTAATGTTTCTTGAAGTAATAAAAATAAACAAGTATTCTTTATCCATACATGGATAGCATCAGTGGCTGTTCCAGGAATGTTCTTAGGGGGAGTGAAGAGGGCGCACTTGCCAAACAGTTGTACTCCATACATTAAAGGTGTGTATATAAATATATTTATATGTGTATATGGGTTTGTGTGCTCCCCGCCCGCTCCCCGCTCCTCTTCCCTGGAACTGCTAATGGGAAAGATATCGTCATGTTATCATAATTAGAATTGGTAAATCTGTAAATCTTCTGATTGTCTGTAAAATAACAACATGCCAAAATGTCAGTATCTCAGCGTTACCCGTTCAGTAAATTATAACCAGTTCCTGTAATATAATTTGGCATGACCATGCGATTTCTAATTCAAAGTGTCGGCAATGCGTCCTTGTGATTTGTTCGATTGGAAAAAAGGAGTTGTATTTACTAATTTTAATTTTCATATTTAATTTTTACAAAACCAAAAAGCAACATGGGTAAATGAGAGATTTATTTTATTACTTTCTATTTGTTTATCTGACCTTCCACTTTACAAATGACATATATATATATATATATATATATATATATATATATATATATATATGTATGTATATATAGGTGGCTGAGGTAGCCGTGGGCTAAGTCGTTTGCAATAGGTAAGCAAAGTTAAGCTACGTCGAGCGTGGTTAGTACTTGGATGGGTGACCGCCCGATTTGGGTGACCGTCCACCACAGAAAGCCATGCTACCCGAGTCTCTCCATGTCTCCATGGAGACCATGGTTCCTAGCAACTTGATATCGGGTGACCCCCTCCAGGCTATCTGAGCTCCCGCAAGCAACATACGTCTGTAAGGAGACCAGCCAAAGATCTTCATGGTCTGCAGAGCCAACCAAAAAATATATATAAATATATATATATATATATATATATATATATATATATATATATATATATATTCTTTTCTTTTTTTTTTAAGCCCTAACCTTATACATTCTAGTTCACAACTTTCTTCGAAGGTTTGATGTGGAGGAACAACCGTCTCTTCATAGTCTTGAAATGTTTCTTATAAGATTGTAAACAGCTTTTATTCTTGTTGTATCTTGTCATTATATTACAAATGGTTGAGAAGTGGATAATTTTTTTTTGGTAAAAAACTCTGTTACACAAAATAAAAAATATATTTCATTGTTTTCAGATTACCTGTTATGATTGGGATATTTGTTATTGATGAACAGATAAGGCTCAGAGATAACTGTTAATATTTATCACTTGAAGTCAAATAACAATTTTTAATTTATATACAATATCCAATTTCGCGTTTTACCTAGGTTTTCACGTTAGTTTTCCAGTAATGAATGACGTGCGTGCCTGCAGAACTAGCACTAATAATTAAAAGATATCAGCTTGCATGCTCTAAGGTCATTGTTGTCTCTCACATTAGATATGATTATGAACAAAATGTTAATTTCTAGAAGAGGCAATCATTTTCATTTTATGCTATTTATTTGTATTTATAAATTTGAAATTATATTAAATGACAGATCCCACCACTAGCGGATCTAGGATTTAATTTTTTTTTTTGGGAGGGTGGAGTTTCAGCCCGAAAGATTTTTTTCATCTATATAACGATAATTAATTTGAAAAAAAAAAGAAGAAAGAAATGAACTACCTATATGAAATGGTGTTTAAGTGATTCTTGAAGTCCTATTTAATGTAAATACGAGCAATAATACTTTAAGAGATAGTTTTTTTACCATAAATCATGGATATACTTTACCTTTTTTTTTTTTTTTGTTTGAGAGCTTCAGCCCGAAAGCCCTCTCCTCCTCCTTCTCGCTAATCCGCCTGTGGATCCCACCCAGGAAGATAAAATAAAATTTTAAGCAGTCAGTATAACATGAGTTTAAAAAATATTTTTTTCTCATAAGCGAAAATTGTCCCTCGCCTTTTACGTATTAGATATCAAGAAACAAATTAGGTTCTGTCTTCTATCAGTCTGTAATCTAATCAATGTGAAATATCCAGATATTTTGGAGTTTAGTATCCAGATGGTCCCATATCAATTTCATCAAACTCTATCTATTATTTCTCCTTAAGTAAACATAAACATATTTAATTAGATATGCCGATTATTGAAAATGGATTCGTCTAGTTTAACTAAATGTTGAACAAAAGTGGATATTTATTGAAAAGTTTCATCCTTTACTTTTCAAAAACGCTTTTATTTCAAACGCGCAAACGTATGAATGGTAGGCCCATACTTCAATAAAGGCTCGTTCGATTTGCCAAAAATGGGAAAAAAATTTGGAAAATGGTCAAGTATCATTTTAAAATTCCATATCTCTCTATTGGATAAAAAGTTTTTATTGACCGTGTAATTATTTTATTTTACATATAAGGCGGAATGCTTGCAGAGCATAGCTGCCGTGCGGATTTCCGTATAATGCACCCTAATTCCATCATCCAGATAAGATTTTTTTTAACTGTTCACGATGTAAGTATTCAACTACTATCTTCTAAAATAATTTCAGTCCTTCATAACCATTGAATGTATGTTAATATTAATTATTATTACTGATTTTAGAAACCGAAAATTTCCAACAGAAAATACATCAGGATATTCCAGATAATGAAATGAAGACGAGTAATTTTTAATTAGTAATTGACAAATACTATAATAAATGTAATAAAAGATTTAGGGAGTCATGAAGATGAATATATGAAGTATATTTATATAGGGTGTTTCGTAACTGTTTGCACGGCACTATTTTAGTTATGTATTCACTAACACAAAATAAACAAAAATCATCATATTAACATAATACTCATTTATTAAACAGATATCAAAAGTTGAAGATTTATTATTTGTTTGTTATTACTATTTATTTATTATTATTACAACATTTGAAGTAACTGTTCAAAGGGGCCTCCGTTTTGTTGAATGCAACATTCAGCACGACGAATCCATGCTTCTCTCTGGCTCTTCGTGTAGCAACAGGATGGTGCTTGATGGTTACTGCGGCTTCCACCACCCGATTTCTTAGCTCTTCTTCCACCCAGAATTAGACAATCAGATGAGGAACTACTGTCTTTGCTTATCGTTCATTTGTTTGTCAGGTGATTAAAACCTCTTTAGGGAACACATCAAACTATCGATTTAAATGCAATTTGAATTAAATCAAGAGACACATCCCAGCTGTTATCTGGAGCATACTGCATATATACCTCAGATGTTATTGTGACGCCGCCATTACTGAATCGTAGACGCTCACGTAGCGTGATTAACGAGACTGGCCAGTTTGAATATTTGTAATTCCACTGCTGTGATGAATATGGAGTAAAAACCTACATCGGCCGGCAAGAAGCCAAGAAAGGAAGGGAGAGAAGATGAACAGGAAGACTGGGAAATAGAAAAAAAGAGAAAATGCAAGTATCCCAACCCACCTATATTTAATCTCCGTATAAAATTACATGTAATAATATAAAGCAATCAATTTTACATATTCACTTCTTTAATCCATTAACTCTCTAATTTTACACTCCACAGCAATAAATTATCACCAGCTCTTAAAGTAGAATTATTATGACAATATCCCTGACAGCCTTGGAAGGGATTGGCATTGTAAATTAAACAAAACCTGTTATTTATTATTAAACTTTGTACAGTCAGTCTTGATGTAGTAAATAAATAATAAATCTTTAACCTTGACACGCCCAGACATGGATACACGTGCGTTCGGTCAGGAGCCTTACTTTACATTCATTCAGTCCTCCAATACCAGCACAGAGGCATCTCGCTTGACCAACTGGCCTTGGTTCGTAGCAGTCCATCACGGATAGTAATCAGGGCCTGTCATTGTTCTTTATTCACCTTCTGGCTCAGATAAATTCAATTTCATTGCAATTATCGGTGATTAAAATATACAGGATGAGTCAGGACTCCAGCAGTGGATTGCACAAAGGAAAATAATTTATTTGCTTATTACAAATAATCAATATTTCATACATGTACTAGAATTTCAGCTGTCGAACTCTTTTTGCAATAAATCATCGAAAATACCACTTTCTAAACAATTTCGCCTTCGTCTTCGATGGGCGACAGTTTCCCTCCTGATTCTTACATATCTTCCTTTAATGATGCCTGCAGAATTTTCAATATGTTAAATTAGTGCATCCTTAGTGTCTTCTTCATCTTTAAAACAGCCCCATAAACAATAACCCAGTACTGTATGGTCTACAGATCTTGGAGGACAACTAATTGGGAAGCGACCAATCCAACACTCTGGAAATCTTACATCCAAATGTTGCCTCAGCTGACAAGCGAAATGGACGAGTTCTGTTTCACGCTGAAAGCGAATTTGTATTCTAATGTTTAGAGGAACATTTTCTAATAGCCTTTGAAAAATAAAAAAAG